CCCGCTATACGGATAGATATTCTGCCGAAAGCTCGACAAGAAAATAAATGTTGTTTCTGTCTTCCTGGTCTCATCCCCAATCTACTGAAAGTAAAATATTTATCTTCTTTATGATACCGACGAGATTTTGTCGCAATAGGCCGATAGTCTTCCGATAAATGACTAAATAGATTAGGGGGCTCTGCTTTTGCAACTCCTGAGTAGATGGCCAAGATGGCCAGAAGGGCCTTCCATCCCCCAAATTTCAATGTTATGCCTTCGTGTTCTTTTAATAGATCGTGGCCGATCAGAACATCTGAACATAGCTCCCTCAGCACATTAAGTTTGTAGTCTTTATAAATCTGGTCTGCAATTCTGAGGTTCACTGTCACATATCCTTCAGTGTTGGTATGACGAAATGTTGAGGCCATAGACACTCGCCCCTGACTGGGAACAATGCTAATGTTATGTTTCAGTACAAAATCCAAACTAATAAAGCTTCCTGAGCTTCCGGTGTCCTCTAGGCATTGAGCAGAGATACCATTCACCATAGCCATAGTGATAGCGTGGCTCAACTGGTCCAAAAACTTCCCATTCGAAGATCTGGGAGACAGTCTTTGACTTAGGTTCCCTTGTAGGTTTTCGACATACTCTTGCATAGTGGCCACGGGTCCCACAGTTATTACATTCTACATCTTTCGCAGGGCAAGAAAAGCGAGGATGTCGATTTTGCCCACAGAAGTAACATCTAGCCCTTTCGGTTTGGACGGTTGCGCAAACGTCTTTAATTTTGTCTGAAAAACTCACATGATCAATCCGCCTCCAAACCCGCACATGTGTGCTGACTCCGGGAGTATTCCTCAGCCTGCCTAAGCGCCATCTCGAGAGACACCGCTTGCCGCACCGCCTCGTCTAGACGAGGGTAGTCTCCTCAAGCAGGTGCTGGCGAATCTGCGAGGATAGAAGCCCGTTTATAAACGCATCGCGTATATAAAGATTTCTGTGCTGCTCCGCTGAGACAGCAGAGAATTCACAGTCCTTGTTCATAATCTTCAATGACTGTACGTAACGGTCAATGCTCTCTTCCGGGTTTTGCTTCCGCAGAGTCAGCAGATGTCGTGCGAAGATGTCGCTTCTCTTCTTAATGAACTCGCCTTCAGGGTGTTTATAGCGTCAGAATAGGTCGAACACTCACTTATGATTTCATCTACGTTGTAAGAAAGAAAGTTAGCTATCACCTTCAGTTTATCGCCATCCTCCAGACTTTCCTCCGCCGAATCCAGGAAATTCTCAAAGGTAGTCAGCCAGTGAGAGAACTCTTTGTCCGCCGCCGGGGAATCCGGGCTCTCATCGAACCGGTTAGGCTTCAAATATTTATCCATCCCGAGAAGCCGGGGGGTTTTCAAAGTTAATAAAATTGTAATAGAAAAGGAATATTACAAAGAACTCACAATGTGAACCTGAAGTAGGCTTTTATTAACTTTGAAAACATGATACAGTCTCTTTTGTATAAATAATTGCTTATGTCCTTTAGGAGGTTATCGGTATTAGTAAAAGCGGGCTATTTAATCACCACAAAAGTCATTGCTTTTTGTACAGTAAAATGATTAATTGATTTTTTTATTATTTACCAAAACCTGGTAAATTACATTGTAATCGTTCTGGGGTGATAAAACACAGAATATTTTCTTTTCAAGTTGGCTTTGTCTTGGTCGATCTCAAGCTTGTGCGGAATGTACATGTCCTTTCCAACCTATATACATAGTTCTTTATTAGTGAATTATTTTTCTCAGATGTGTCGTTTTATAAGATATAAGCACCCACAAACTACTAAAGATGTTGAGAAACTGAAACGTGTTTGAAAGACCAAAGTGATAATAAATGAATAATCCACTGAAATATTGCAGTTAGGAATTCTACATTTATATACAATTCATTTTTATTGTGCCAACCCGTGTTCTGGCAATGCTTTAAGAGACTCTCGTCTCACAAGCAGACATTTCCTTAAACAGAAATTTTTATACACTGAAGGGGTGTAATTCACTGAAAACTTCCTGGAGTTCAATTATTTTTTAAAAAGTTGAATTTATATATTTTGTAATGGCTATATCTTTACTGTTTAAGGTTTTTTGTTTTAACTGTCCTAAGGGAAATGAACTAAAAATTATGATAAGGAGCATGATACGAAGTTCTGTTTAATTAAAAATTAATTATTATTTGTATAACTGGAATATCATAGCCATTAAAATATGGATTATATAGAAGTAACATAAGTTTATATTTTTTTATATGCTTTTCAATTAATCTTCCTATTTCTACAAGTACGTTGTACATTAATGAACAATGGATACACATATACACTTTCACCTTGTTTTAAACTAATAATGAAGTTTTTTTCATCTAGTATTTCCACATGTAAAGGAAAAAATTGCGTAATGAAATAACAAGGATAATTTATACCACTAATAGACTATAAGGTGAATGGTATGAAAAGAAAAGAAAAACAAAAGTACATAAAAAAGTTCTCATTTCATTTCATAACAGTAAAGAATTAAATACAATTCATATTAAATAGTGATGATTAAGTGCAATGCTATATATTGTATATACATTGCNATATACAGAAAAAAAGAAAACTGCTCATGTTTTTATATTATTCATGGCACAAGAAGTACAGCTAACCCAATACACTAGAAATAAATATTGCTATTTATAATACATGAACTATACAGTTAACAATATAAAACAAGCTACATAAACTTTTAACCAGAATGGGGCTATTATGTAATACAAATCATATGTACTTTGTGCCTCCACCTTTAAATTACTAATTGTTTAACACTTTTTTTGTAAATTATTAAATACGCTCTAAATTTTAGCAACGATTCAGTAAGTTTTTTTTTTAATAAACATAATTAGCCTTTCATATTTTTGTTGTGGGTTATCCATTTTAGATTGCCCAACTATAGTCACTTTTGTACTCAACGGTGGATTTGATTTCCTCTGTTTAACTTTTACTTTTGAAATTTGAAAAAAAAAATTAAAGTTACTATTTATGCAGTGAAATAAGTTTTTTCATATATATTTTTTTTTTAACCATAAATATAGTCTTACAAATGTAATGTACGTATATTGTGTACAAAGGGAATATAATATTAATTTTTTTAATCTAAAGATTGTTTAAGATCAATAAACATGGATTTGTATGCATCTGTGTGATTTGATTCTATTCATGTAAGATAACATTGTAAATATGTAACTGAGTAAAAATCAGAAAAGAAACTTTCAAGTCTTAAATCAATAAATTTCAGCACTGAATCTGCAAATTGAATGTTTTATTTTTTTATTGTTGTTTTGTAAATGTAAATTTCTAGAAAGAATATTAAGTATATTGAACATAAAGAATAACATTAAAGTAAAACAGGTTTATATAAAATGATGCCAATTCTTTGCTTTAATTAATATATTCTTGGAAACAAATTATTAGTGCAATTTCTTTTTTTTTTATCAGTGGGTTATCTATACCAGTCTGAATTTATACTTTAAATAATTTATATGTACCCATCACATATTTTTGGTATTCTTGTACAAAGTTGAACTGATTTGAAATTATATTGGAAAAATGGTCAAACGTCTAGAAGAAGTTTGCCGTGTTATGACGAAAAATCAATTTTTCCTTACTACTAAATAACAATATAAAAAATATACAATATAAAAACATCTGTCTTCAGTAGGCCCGGTATTGAAGTACTTGTATCATTTGGAGAATTTTAATACAAATACAGTTAACGAGTTGTAGTTGCACTAAATGCTTCATTTAGATATAATCAAAAATTAAAAAAAAAAATATGTAAAAGCCTATTATAAAATTTATGTCCAGTACATTAACATAAATCAGAATTTTGGCACTGTTAATCACATCTAATCTGTATAAGCTTATATGTACATACAGACTTCAAAAACAAACATGCCCTGATGTGTTTGCAAATAACAGTGTGCTTATAATTATATATCTACACAGACGCACACTTAAAAAAAGGCGTGCATATATGCAATAAAGTGCAAATGTTATACTGATATTAATATCACATATTCATTCATGTGTATACAAAATAAAATGTTTAAAATACTGGTATTTTTGAGTTTAATTACAAAGAGTAGTTTTTAGGGTAAAAATTGGATAACCAGCATTTCATTGCAAAAGAAAAAACGTTCTTCTTTTATTCATTAAGTTGAATATATTGCAGGTATAAACATCCTTGTTCATTCATGTTGATTACATCGTACAAACTAAATATTTTGTAAAATTTGTAACATACATCCCTCAATCCACTTTATGTTATATTTATAAGACCTCTAATTTATTTTCACCTGTAGAGAATCATAACAAATTAGTCCATTAGACTACATTTACAGATCTGCGGTATATTCACGATTTTTGACATGTTTACATACATCTACATACTAACCCAGTCTATATTTACACACAAAAGGAATTATCACTTTTCCATAGTAAACAGTATAGAAAGACCCTCACCTTCTTTAATTTTATTTACATTTATACAATTAGTTTCATTATTTATATTGATTATAATACTTAAATTTCCAAAATATTTTCTTTCAGCAATACTTTTTTTCTTTATGGTTTACCTTGAACCTTTCAGCTGAATTTTGTAATTATTTATTGTTATTTTAAAGTTGAATTTCTTAAAAATACAGAAAGAACAATTAATAATTGCAAGTAATCAATATCGACCTTAAAATATTTTAATACTGAAATATAGAGTCAGACGCCAAAATGACTGTACATGGATTCACAGGTGGAAATTATAAAATAATAAGGAATGCCTTAAAAATTAATTAACCATCAGGTTCAATGACGTAACAAATTTAAAACCATAATTCCTTGCCAAATACTACATTTTAAATGTAAACTGAAATTTCATTTTCGCCTATTTGATTTATATGTGATATTTTTATTTTATCTAACTTTAACACCACCTAGAAAAAAGGAAAATCAACAAAAAACAATTGTTTCATAACATTATAACTGAGAAAAATAAATACAAATTGTGTACACAAAATGAAAAGTCCAAGAAAAACACTGGATAAACCACTGCAATATACAATATTCTGTTATAAAAATATAAATAATTGATAATAAATAAATATTAAGTAATACCGACAATATATAATTAAAAATTTCTTACAAATTTACAAATAAAATATTGCTTTTATAATTAACACTTTTAATGAAATCATTGATGCACTTAATAGTTTAAGTTTTTGCAATCGATGAGCTAATAATTCGAGGTAACAAGAGAACATCAACCTAATCTGCCACTAGCATAAATAAGTAGGCATTTATTTTAGTTGTGTGCCAAAAGTCACTAATTTTGATCCATTATATAATAAGCTTACAACTTTAATTTCTTAATAAAGATTCTACTTTAGACTTATAAAGTTTTCAAACGCAAAATTGAAAAATGTAATATTTTTTTTGGCTGCTTGTATTTGTATTTAATACCATAAGGTAAATCACAATTCACTCCTCATTATGCGATGGCGAATTTGTTTCAAAAGAAGGTGAGTTTGCTGGGGAGAAGGTTAACATTTCAGGCGGAGAGATCGAACCATCGGGAGGAAAGCCGTAGCTGGGTCCGGCCATCCCCGAAGGCCCAGCTTCATTCCGGCACCACAACTGCCTCATTTCATTTCGTCTTTGTCGCATAAGGGATTTGTACTCGGAAATTCTCATCTTCTTGCCGTCGACAATGCACGTTCTTTTAGGCCTTGGTCGATATCTGTAGTCGGGATGTTTTTCCATGTGCAGTTTCGACAATCGAGATTGCTCTTCATAGAAAGGTTGCTTTTCCGCATTTGACATAGACTTCCAGCGTGCTCCTGTTAATTAAAAATGAAAATTAAACAAACAGAACAAAAATTTTAGAAATTTTCTCTTACCTAATATTTTTGATATGTTTGAGTTGTGCATATCAGGGCATGCTTTTAAAATTTTTCTTCTTTCATCTTTTGCCCATACCATAAAAGCATTCATCGGCCGTTTTATATGTGGTTTGTTTTCTCCATCCCGTTTTGGTTGGCGCATCATTTTGGCTGCAATTATTTTCAGTATTAAAACAGATTAAAATTTTATTTAGAAAAATTGACTAAAGTCAGAAAGAAAAAAAATTGTAATCACCTTTTTCACTGGAATCATCTTGGATTTTAAATCCTGATTCTTGACTCCATACTAAAATAAAGAAAAAATATTTGAAAAAATTCATACATTTGTTTTTTGTTAGGAAAGACTTACTATGACAAGGTGATAAAAATTCATTGTCCTCTTTGACTTCTTCACGGTGAGGTTGTTGGAGGATATGATGATGTGGTGGCGGATACAAATGAAGTCCTGTGTAAGCAGGCAACTTGTCGTTTTCATTTGCTCCCACAATGCCTAATTTAGCTATGAAGACATTTTATTAATAAAATATAAAAATAAGACAATCGTTGAGGTATGCATTTACTTTGGCTGTTTGCACGAGGCGGCATTGTAGCATATGGAAGAAATGCTCTCGGCATGAGCAAGTTTGGAGGTATTAACTTAAGTGAAGGTGAATTATTACTAGGTTCAGTCCTTCCTGTTGGAGTCGCTTTGGGTTTTGAAAGGTTGAGAGGCGCATCTGGATCCTGAGGTGGAGGGGATTCTACATTCCCGCACCAATTGTCTCCACTCTGTAACAGGATATAGAATTAATTTTGATGTATTGGCAGAAAAAGAATCATCCTTACATTGCTAGGGGTCGAATCGTTGGATACTTGGGGTAAATGGTGTGCCTGAGGCTGAAGGTTTCGAAGCTGATCCAAAAATGGAAGGAACATCAAGCTCTGAGGCGAACCCAAGCTGATTCCTTTCGAGGAAGCATACTGCGATGATATCTGATTCTTAAAATAAATAAATAAATAAATTAGGATATGCAATACTGAATATATTTATAACAAGAAATTCTTATTATGGCTCAAAGAAAACAAAGCTAATAAATTTAAACTCTGACAATTATCTTGTTAATGTGCTAGTTTATTTTTAGCCTGTTTTGATTATTTTTTGGCCAATCCTTCCTCCTAATTAAAGTTATTTAAAAAATCAATAAAATTTTATATTTTATTGATATAACTGATATTAACAGTCAGGTATAAGGTGAATTTTTAAAGAAAGAAAGTCAGTTTTGTTTGTAGCCTGTTTTGATTATTTTTTGGCCAATCCTTCCTCCTAATTAAAGTTATTTAAAAAAAAAACATTAAAATTTTATATTTTATTGATATAATTGATATTAACAGTCAGGTATAAGGTGAATTTTTAAAGAAAGAAAGTCAGTTTTGTTTTTAGCCTGTTTTGATTATTTTTTGGCCAATCCTTCCTCCTAATTAAAATTATTTAAAAAATCAATAAAATTTTATATTTTATTGATATAACTGATATTAACAGTCAGGTATAAGGTGAATTTTTAAAGAAAGAAAGTCAGTTCCTTTGTCATGCTTTTGGATTTTTGATTAATACACTTAATTTTTCAACTACTTCTAATGCTTTACACAGTTAACAAATATAAACATTTACTAACAATATTCAAAATTATTAATCTATTTAGGTTTATAATAAAAATTACATCAACCATAATGAATTTAGATTTCAGCTTAGTAGATTGGATGAAATGTACTATCCATCCATCCTCCCTTATAATTGTAATTGTTTAGTATATTTTAAGACTTTTTGGGTATTTTAATCTAACTTAGTCGAGTTAGAATGGAAGATTCAAGAAGTTTATAAAGTGAACTGATGAGGTGCCACAGTGTAGGTTGGAATGCATTTACAATCAAAGGAGAGAAAATAAGACTGCTTACTTCAAATAAAACCCCAAATAATTAATAGAGCTTCTGAACAACGACAACTACTCTAGAAAAATAAGAGTTTGTGTAAATTTAGAAGGACATGCAGAAAATATGATTAAGAGAAGAATGTAAGACAGGTAATAAGCAACAGGCCTTGGCTTTGCTAACAATTACACCTTTTAGTCTTAGTATATTGTATTTTCAATGATTAATGAACCAATAAAAATTTGTTGTCTATCAGAAACGTTTGCATGGAATGGTGTTATCAATAATAAACTAGGTTTTGCTCAATTGCCAAAGAATGGAGCCGGGAACTGAATACTTGGTTGGCAAATTTAAAATCATGACCTCTATTCTTAATCAGGAAATTTAAACTGATTTTAAATGTATTTTATTAGCATAGGACTTTGTTTTAGACAAATGTGTGTTGTTTTTCGTGCTAAAAGCCCAGGCAAATATGTGTATCGGAAGAAGTGAAAATGACAAATATACTGCTGATGCTGGACGGTTAATAAATTCCAACTTCTTGTTTGGTTATTTTTCAATAATAAGATCATGTTTTCAGGGCATGATTTATATCAATGGAAAAATTCTATTTATCTCGAGTATTGATTTTTATATATTATATACAATTGTACACATAAAAATGAAGTATTGTATAAGGCCATTTTGAAAGAAAAGAAAAGCACTCAGTTCCTTTTGCCCAACTCTTTACATAGTACATTTTATTTAAATGCTAAATCAACTTTAAAATTTTGTGTCTATCAGAAACGTTTGGATATGGTGGGAAAACAAGGAACATTGTATATATAATAAACTTGGTTTTGTCAAAATGTCAAACTATGGAGGAAGCGAAGCGAAAAGGTACTTTCTTAGTAGGAAAATTTAAACAGATAAAATATATTTTATTAGCAAAAGATGTCAACCGTTTTTGCAGGCAAACATATGTTCATTTCAGTGCTAAAAACCTATGAATAAAATGAATAATGAAAGAAGAGAAAATGACAAATATGCTGCTGCATTTGGACGAATAAAAATTAAGCCACCTTCTTGTTTGGTTATTTTTCCATAATATGATCAAATTTTTAGACATGTTTGCACCTTATAACAGTGTAAAATTTGTATTTCTTTTATATCTTCACGTTGATATATACAATTTTCTATATAAAAATGAGGGATAAGGCCAAATTGAAAGAATCGAAGAAGAAAGTTGATACTGTCGATGTAAATCACGTTCATTCTTCAAAAGTTTAAAGAATGAATTTTTTTTCAAACGGTAAATTTTTGAATGTTTAGTGTCCAATGTACATAATTGCGCTGATTATAATTTAAAAAAAAATCGTACTTGAAGTTCGTGTATTTTGTGCTGTTGTTGAAGTATGTGGTCTTGTCTCAGCTGTTGTTCTTGATGAACCCGCTGTTGTATTTCCATTTGCTTCTGCGCTTCCGAGCTACCAAGAAACTGCAAAAGAAAATTAAGTTTTAAAGAACTGACAGTCGAACAATAGCATAATATATAAACAATAGAAATAAATCAGGTCGTTTTGACATGAGAATCTGTTTATATTTAAATGTCGTTTAATTAACGGCTACGCGTCTTTCAGTGGTTGGTAATTCTAGTTGTTTCCCTCTCTTTTATGCAATAAGTTGTGTTGCCAAATAATTTTTCCTATACGCCCACCCGTACTAAATATATACAGGCAGAGATCCAATTCATAGAGCCCCATTCATAGCTAGTATACAATCCTTCCTAATATTTTTATATAACTACCAGGTATCCTCGAATTTAGTCTAATATGGATTAAGTATATTACCTTATTATTTTTTTATTATAAAACTCATGTATTGTCAGAAAAGGAGGTTTGAAAAATATTCGATCAATGAGGATTATAGATGATTTGGAAAATTGATTTTAAACGTTCAAAAAAGTGATAAGACGTAAACACTTTACCAATATTCGACGATTGAGTTTGAAAAGACGCCCACTGATGATGGATCGACGCGGAAATTCGTACTTGTCAGGCCAAACGGCGAAGACGCGCGGACTCAAAGGCGAATATTCAAAATGTCTCATCTTCACTAAGGGCGAGCCGTGAAAATTGATCACTACAGTTGAATTGTATTATGTTTTGGCTTAAAGCTGTTTCTCTCTCAGATGATAACGACTAATCATCGGATATTAGATAGAGATTAGAACGGCCGGCCTCGAATCATAATCGCGACTGTAGCATAACACCGCCTCTTTGGAATGAAAGTCCTCAGATGGCCCGTGTACTTTCTCGAGTCCTACACGTCCCCGGATAAAGGTGATTTGTTTCTAATGATTTTTCTTCTTTACTTTCTGGAAAAAATGACAAACATTGTCCAGAAGTAACATTGTAGAATACACTAGACATTTTTCCCCTTTTCAACTTTCACAATCAATTTTAAATTTTATATTGAAATCTCAGTAAAAATTGATAGGAATTGAGATTTTCTAATTTTTTTAGCCACTTGAAACTCATAAAACAAAACAGAAACTCTTTCACATTTTTTAGGTCGATCACTTTCTTTTCAGCGCTCGGATGAAAGTAAATTTAATTTTTTATCATCGAAACGTTGATAAAACGAGGGATCATCCAACCTTAAAGACCATTTGATTGTCTAGTTAATTATAATTTTAAATTTGATGGTTTTAAAACACATAAAAACTTTGTCTAAAGTTTTAGCTCTCTCGAAGCTTAAGGCCACTCTTTCCTCCATTTTTTTAGTCGTGCACAGTGAAGAAAAAAAATCAGGCTAACTAAAAATTGGAAACAGTAAAATATTTAGTTACTGAAGATGGTTTCAAGAGTGTCGAAACGCGGTAACTGTTTTTAAGCACACTAAACAGTCTTCTTCCCTGACCGACACGTCCTTCGAAATAAATAAAATGTTTATTTATTTCTATGAGCTTTGAAGATATGGATTTCATGGATAAGTATGTGAAGAAGGGAATGACATATCCAGCAATGTTGGAGTGTCTCTTGGACCGGAAGATTTCTAAGTTTAGTCAGAGATGCTTGGATTGTGTTTTCTAAACAGACCTCGCGTTTTACCCATGGCGAATTAGTGTCAGATTATTTCCCAAACAGCTCAGTTGTTTGTACTTGTGAGACTAAATTGTGTGGAAGGCAAGAACAACAGATGTAATGAGAGAGAGTAGAAGTGAGACAAGGCAGGTCTCCCCGACACTTCAAACGCTAACCAATGTAAACAGGACTCAGAGCCCGCCCGTTCATAATCCCCGCCACCCCTTTGATTTCTCGGGCCGAGTTTGTTTATGCTCTAAGCATAACATAAATATTACCTAAGCCTCAGCCTTCCCCCTCCTCCCTGGTTATTGTTTGCGAGATGAAATCTTCGCCAAACCAAATATCTTCTTCCCACTACTTACCCAGAAATAGCCTTTTAGTAGAGGTGCTACAAATTGAAATGCCAACAAATAAAAAACCACGACAGTCGATTCTTCCGCTTTTTATCTTCTTTCTTATACCCAATATACTTCGTCCAAACAAAAACCAGAAGGTTTTTCAGAGAACCTTACAGATTTTCAGATATAAAAATCTGTTCGTTAATCAGACTTAAATTTAAGTGCATAATGTCAATAAGGGGATTTGGAAATTAAACATGCCAATGATGATGGCTAGGAAGCGGGGTTTTGTCTTTCAGCGCATAGCACTTTTCTTTCTTTTTTAGTCCAGTTCAATTGACTATTGTTCATTTAAGAAGAAGGGTTAACTGTTGTTACTTCAATTCTTTATCCCGGGGTAGATACTTTATTAGTTATAGACCGCACTGATTAAAAGCTATATTCAGGGGGGCGTCGGTGGCCGCAACGGTTTAGGCGTTGACACGACTCTCATCACTGAAAGGTGAAGGTCCCGGGTTCGAATCCAGCGGCTCTGCATTCGAACCCGACATACTTACAAATGGGCTTTTTTTCAAAAACATCGGCACCCCGAGGGTCCATATAACAAAAAAACAAAAAAAATCCGAGACCTGCTCTTTATTTATAGTACACCAGTGAGTCTCCATTTGTCAAGAAATTAGGCTGGAACGAGGTAGTCAATCCATAATTTTTCAGCACGTTGAGGTGTTCTCCGACTTTTTGAAAAATGTACATACCATGTTAGGATAGGATGGGATGGTGAAGGTCCCAGGCAGTGGGGAGTTTCCCAAGTACTGCAGCCTTGAGGCTTATTGTATTTTTCGTGTTTCCTTAGTTCAGTTCCATTGACTCCATTCTTCTTTACAAGGAAATTAACTGTCATTGCTGCAATTCTTTCTCCTGAAGTAGATATTCCATTAGTTATTGACTATATTCACGAAAACTCTGGATTGAAGAAGAAAGCGAATTCCGTTGTTACTGCCGAGCTTTCGACCTATTTTAAGGTCATCATCATTTTACAGGCGATCTCTATTTTCTTGCAGACTGACTCAGTCCCAACATCCAAGGACTTTAACAGTTAAGTCACTTCTCTTGTCAACAATAGAAAAATGGAAAAACTCTATTTACAATAACTGTACGTAAGATTTTGGACTTTATTTGAGATGAAGTAAGCTGATGTTTTTATATTTTCTTCCTTTGTTGCTTGCAGAATAGTTTGAGTTGTAAGAGGAAAGTCCGTTTCACAATATTTTCAAATACTCATTTATTAAAGAGGGTGAGTTGAGAACGAGATAACCTGAGAAATGCAAAGCATTCGCCAGGGGATCAGAAAATTAGGTGAGGGTGCGAGGAAAGAGTTCGTCGAGGGTGAGAGATGGCGAAAGAGAAAGCTCGGTCTTCCTATGAATACAAAGTTGGAAGTTTTTGTACGAGGCTCTCTGTCTCTCAGTCAAAGATCAAAGTTAAAGGGCAAGGGGGACAATCGTAGAGTGAGATGCCGTCCTATGATAAGGCGACAAAGCTCCCTCTGTTTTATACGTTATTAGAATGCTATCTGCCGAGGGGCCTCGACCTCTCTTCTTAATTGTCTAACCCATTTATCACTCTTCTCATCTTCTCACCTGACACGAATCTGTTTCATTTGCCCCCGGTCCTCTTTTTCACCCATTCAAATCTCTGTCTTCAATAACTATTGAAAAATATAAAGAAACGTTTTCATTAGGCGGATGTCAAATTTTAGCGAATCTGCCATCTGCAAGAAAATCCATGCCACATTTTATCTGCAAAAAGAAGTACTGCTAGAACCTATTTTTTTTCTTTTCTGGGAATTTCATATTCCTCGAACTAACTTAAAATTTGGACACAGAAAAACCGTACCCCCTCGGAGAGTAAAAGCTCACACTTTAAATTAGAAGTAGACTTTTTTCAAATTTATTTGTAGCCTATACATGCTTGTTAGGACATTATTACATTTTTTCTTCGGAAAAAATTCAATAAATTCTAGAAAAGAACGGATCGAACCGAGCAAGAAGCATTTCGCGGTCTGAAAGATCTTGACCCGGGGGGATTTGACTGTAGACTATGAATGCAGACGATTTTGAATATTATTTCAAAGATCAGCGATATCAAATCCCAGGAAATGACAGTCTTTCGCTATTTGAAATTTAACTTCGGTAAAGAATTTATTTGGAACCCTTATATTGAACTCAAAAGTATAGAAATACTTGTCAGCAGATCGAAACTTTCTGTACGGAATTAAACTGAAGAGTTTAACCAAGTGATCCAAAACAATTCAATCGTTCCAGTCAAAACTGGTTGGCATCATTGTCCAAACTGCCTACTTTTTGCCCAATGACAGACATCCTGTCCACACAGACCAATCCCATGAAACAGCAGATAAAAACGTAGTAGAAAACCCTAATATAATAATAATGTCAATGATTCTAATAATTTAGTACAACTTGATCATCGAAAGGTTTTTGCAAGGGGAGCAAGGGGAGCAGGGCCCCAATGGTTGGAATGAGGAAAATTGTAACGGCATAGTTGTAAGTAGGAAGACGAGAGAATGAAACTGCTAGGTCTACAATACGTGATTCGCTTTTATCAGGCCACCCCCTCTGACCGCACCAGAGGCCAAATATCGTCCTATTTATGTTACGTAACATAATTATTGCAATGTCTAAAAACATAGACGACAATTCGACTTTAAAATGATATATATTGTTTCTTGATAAAAAGTATTGGTTCCCTTAAAAATACAACTTTAGCAAAAATATTCTAAAGGTAACACAAAGCCATGTAAAAATTAACAGGTTTTAGGACGGTTAGAGGTTAAATAACAATGGTTTTGCAATATTTTCACCTAACATACCAAATTATTCTATTTATTTATTTATATTAAACAACAATATTTTTTGCACAGAATGAAACAGGTCCAATGAGGTTTTTAGGTTTAGAAGTTGTTCAAATAATGTTTTGAAAGTTGCGAATCATGAGTTCAGGTATATCTTGCCTTTATGAAATTTCACCTCGTCATCCCTTAAGCTGTCTGT